CTTCAAAAACGCGCACTAGGTTTGATAAGTACCTCGGTCCCCACTAATATGTCTCTTTTTTATATGTATAATGTACTCCCGTTCCCAGAGTGCTATAGGATGCAACTAGCCATGTTAATCTTCAAAAAAATTAAAGATAATTTCCAGATTTTTTCTGATGTGTACTTAAGCAGAGATCTTACGTATAATCTGCGTACTGTTGCGTTGGTCGGGCCAATGTGCCGGACTAACTATGGTGTACAGTCAATTAATAACCAAATCATTCTTCTGTGCAACAGGATTCCTGAAATAATTGAATACGCTAAGGAGGCTAAAAACATAACACAATTTAAGAAGCGAATTTACAATGTAATAAACAGAACACAAGTCTACAGTGTATGTAAAGGAAACATGTAATGTATGTAATATTTATAGTATTCACTGTTTTTCAACTTGTATTGTATTTCAAAATATGTTATGGTGTTTTCTACTGTCCTGCTCTACCTGCCCGAGGTGCCTCACGAAGAGGGGCCAAGTCAGGAGACACACTCTCCTTTTGCCCCCTTCGTGGGCATTTCTGCGGAAATGTCCGAATAAAATAAATGAAAAAAAAATATAATAGAGGCTGCGACTGGGGGGGGGGGGGAGCGCCAAGTCAGCCCCATGCATTGACATAAGAGGGAGGGGTGGCACTGCGACGAACCTTCGCCCCTCCTGAAGGGGAACCCTGCGTACGCCTATGCGTGACACGAACACTGCTTGGGAGCGAGCACAGTGTAAGAAAATAAGAAAAAAGTGTGTGTCTTAAAGCACGAACACACTAGCGGCGCCACGCTCTGCCGCGCGCCGCGCGCCGCTCGCGAGACGCCGCTTTTCTCTCTTTCTCCCGCCGAGCGTCGAGGAATTTCTGCCGCCGACTCAATCGCTCCTTGCGCTATTTCTGCCGCCGCCGCCCAAGCGAAGCGCCAATCAGCGACGTGCGTGGTAGTCGCCATAGCAACGCACGGAGCTTGTTTTCTTTTTTTTTTCCGGCTGTCATTTTTCTCACGCCGTCGTTTTTTGAAGCACGCACCATGGACACCGAACGCTTTTTAGAGGAGATTAGACTCTACCCTTTCTTATACGACAAAACGATGCCTGATTACAAAGATAAGGAAGCAAAAATGAACAGATGGGATCTTATAGGATCTATGTTTGGATTGAAAGGTAAGTGACGATTGCGTGGCTCATTGCATGTTGAGCGCGAATAAATAGTATGTTTTATTCACTCGCTCGTGCAGGAACACAGGCCATGCTGAAGTTTAAAAATATTAGAGACAGGTGGGTGACGCTCGTGTCGGGAGTCGAGGCGAACACTCGGAGCGGTGCGCCAGGCAATAATGGCAAAATTAAGTGGCCCCTGTTCTCAATAATTGACAGCATGCTGAGGCAGACACCTCACTGTGCGGAAAAGTAAGTGGTCAATGACGTGCCGTTTCATATTGCAGCGCACGCAGGATACCTGTTTCATGCCTTCAGTATCTCTGTACCTCCAAAGCAGATGGACCCAATATCTTCGCGGCGCATTTCGAGAGCGGCGACGCTGAAGCAACAGCAGACACGCCATCACGGTAACGTTGAGCGTTGCGCGGAGATCGTCGTCGCCTGCCATTGTTCGCACGATTGCACCGTAAAGTCGGAGAGCTCAGAACCAACGCTTCCTAGTACAGGAGGCGTTGTCAGAACAGACGACGAAAAAGCGCGCAAAATCTCGCGAGCTGCGAGACCGCTCGAGACTGTTGTCACGTGACTCCCGCAGATGTGGCCAGCGTGCCGCTTTTCACCGCTCAGCGGCGAAGACGCGCGTCATGCCGCGGCGGCACGCTTCCCGCTAGTGTGCTCGTACCGCGAGAGCTAGCAAACGAATGGAATACCACGGCAGTTTGTCCACCTTTTTTTTTTACGTGCCGCTTTGGCATCGCCTAAAGACGACACGCATATCCGCGTGTTGTGTGTTCTAGATTTAGTGCCAGGGACCCCCAGCCGCCGGCGTACGCACGCTCTGGCGTTCCATTGTACTCCCAACTGCACCTGCAGCATATGCAAAGAAACGTACGTGGGCGGCTGGGATCTCCCTATGTCCAAGGTTAAACTTCAAATGAAAAGGTATCGAAACCGGCTCCGTATATGAACGTCTACGGTTTTGAGCCCACGCTGCTTGCTGCTCCTGTGTTCTAGCCTGCTTATGGCGACACGTGCACAGGCACGCAGGCAGAAATTTGTTTAAGGTGAGGGGGGGGGGGGGGGGGATACTACCTGGATCCGAAGTTGGGGCCGGCCAGGCAGACGTGATCGAGCGTCGTTTTGTTTTGTGCCCTGTATGCGATGGCATTTTTGGAGGGAGGGGGGTCACAGGCCTAATGTGCCACCCCCTGGCTACGCCACTGCACGTGCACCCTGTCTAAGGTTCCCCAGCGCTCGTTGCCCCAGCAGGGCGAAGCTTATTCTCTGCGGTAGTGGTGTGTGAGGGGAAGGCGCGCCTCGAAAAGAGGATCTCGCACGAGCTTGTTGCTTCACACAAGCAGAGCAAACTACAAACTGTGGACTTTCTTGTTTCAATCTACTATCAGTCAGAGCCATTTCTTTTCTTATCGTGCCTGTTCGCACTGTATTTCAAGTGCCTGTTTATCACAGGCGAGAGGGTAATAGCCTGTGATCAGAAATTTCCAATAATTTGATACTTTATTTTGATACCGCATCCCTTGGGTAAGCTTTCCGGGCAGCATATATTGAAAACCTAGTAGGAGCAGAGCTAGCAACTGGCGGCGAGAGCTGATTGGCTACTTGAGCCGAGGGACGCTGTGATGTCACGCCATAGCAACGGCGACGGCGCCGCTTCGGATCTTGTCCGCTTTGGCCGCGCCACCGTTACCGCTGCTTCGTACGCGGTTTTGGCTTTCGCGCTGCGCGCGTTTGGCAATGGCCGCCCGAACCGCTCTCTCTCTCGCGGCCCTTCTCGTTTTGCGCTGGGCCGCCGATGACTACTGGAGAACCTTGCCAAACCATGAGGGCTACGCGCGCCGTTATTTAGTGAATAAAGTTGCCTTAATTAGGAATGCATTCCTACACTTCTCCAGGGCATTGCAAAAAACAATAAAATGCTGCGCCGTTCATGGAGTTGTTTGAACTCTATTAAGAAACTTCATGTAATCGCCAAAATTACGCATCGCAATACACTGGCTGTACTTAAAGCTCATAGCGCGTTGAAGCTATCTCCTATCGCGTCCGACGCGCGTTGTTTAGTGGATAAAGTTGCCTTAATTAGGAATGTATTCCTAGCTTTTCCCAGAGCACTACGCAATTTTGCGCCGAAAAATTGCTGCGCCGTCCACAAACTTTTTTGAATTGTATTAAAAAAACCCTATCAGCAACATTCGGTACCGAAATAACGGGCTGTAATTAAAGCCATGGAATACATCGTAAAAGCGCTACCACACAACACAAGGGAAGAAGAGACGAGCACAGGCGCAAACTAACAACTGATTTATTGAACGCAGATCAACAAGTATATATACCAGCAAGCTGCGCAGGCGCATCGTCACAACGATCCTTAGAACAGGAAACAGAAAAAACGTTCAAACAAGGCGCGTCAGAAATTGAATTTCGGCGTTGTACAGCGCAATGGAAGTGTCGCTGACACAATCCTCACCTGCTTTTATAATGAAAAAACGCTTCTAAGGTTTCACGGGCCGTTTTTTGCCTACTTCTGCCAAGGATTTTTGCGCAGCGGAACCGTGGTTCACAATTCGAGCACGCCGCGCAGTGGTCAACAAGATGACGTCTCTCGTTATTGTTAAGATTTCTTTCGTGTTCCCTGAGTCGGTCATTGAGGCAGCGCCCTGTCTGGCCGATGTAGCTCATAGTGCATTGAAGGTGCCTCCCATCGCGCGGAGAGCTGCTTTGTTAAGTACGCGCAGTATCTGGAGCCAGCATGTGCCTTTATTATATCACCTAGTTTGGTCCACATGCTCTAAAGCGCCCGTTAAGTTATTTTATCGAACAGCAAATAATAATAAAATAATGCGTATTAATTAAAGCTTACAATGCATTGCAGGCGTTTCCCATCGCGCACAGTTTTGCAATAATGCGCACGGCGCAGTCTCCGGAGCCAGCACGTGCCTTTATGTCACCTATATCAACTTTAATCGGAACTGCGCAGAGCCTACATACACGCACTTTGGCCGATTTGCGACCCAATCATGCCACGTGTAACTCGTGAAATAAAGGAAACTGGTATACAGCGTTGTACATAAGCTGTGACCCTTCAAACACCACATTTCTATTTTACAAATAAATATCCGCGAACTTGAGCAAGAGGAGATGAACAGTTGGAAGTGTTGTTTCTCTAAAATGTAGTTGATAGGTTTGTTCGTTTTCTTGTTTTGCATGGCAATTTTGTTTCAGAGGTTAAGTTTTTTTTGCTCCGAACGGCCACGTGCGCTTTTCCTTCCCGCTGTCCACGGCCAGCATTTTTTAAGTCTTTCGCGGGTTGTGGGGTCCTTGAGGCTGGCAGAACGAATCTTTCTCCCCTTCACACCAAACCACATTTCTGCGTGCTTTTGTGCAGCGGCCTACGCGGTTTAAGCTTAAACAAGGCCGTGTCGCTGGTGCGCTCTGGGTTCCACTGCCTACTGTAGTCTGGAAAGCGATCGCTGAAACGAGCGAGCAAGCAGCCTCCATATCGAATTGCCACATCGAATTGCGTATGGCTTGATTCGATATGGTCGTGCAGCCCAGCTTCTCGACGGAAAAGCCCGCGCGGCCAAGGTCCGGAGCGGCACCCTCACCGTTGCTATGTTGTGACGTCAGAGCGTCCCTCGGCGCAAGTAGCCAATCAGCTCTCGCCGTCGGTTGCTAGCTCTGCTCCTACTAGGTTTTCGATATATGCTTCCGGGCACTTGGGTGGGCATAGGGGAGCAGGCGAGAATTTTGGAAGGCTCCAGCCCACCCTTGCCCCCCCCCCCCCCTGGCGCCGCCCCTGGATACGAGAGGTGGCCCTCCTCCGGGAGTTAACGCACGAGAACATAGTGCGTCTCATAGATGTCATCATGCCACCGTCCAAGGCTATACACTTGGTGTTCGAGCACATGACCATGGATCTTGGGAAGCTTTTGGATACTCAGCCCAAGAACAAGACCTTGAATGGCGCCGTCGTTAAGAAGTACCTCGGTCAGATAGTAGACGCCATCCTCTTCTGCCACCGACGCAGAGTTCTGCACCGCGACCTCAAGCCAGCCAAAGTGCTTATCGACGACAACGGCGGCCTCAAGGTGGCCGACTTCGGCTTGTGCCGTGCCTTCACGCTGCCCGTGGGCATCTTCACCCACGAGGTGGTCACCCTCTGGTACCGGGCGCCGGAGATTCTCCTTGGTGCCAGTCGTTACTCGACACCGGTGGACGTGTGGAGTATCGGGTGCATCTTCTTCGAGCTGCTCACTGGGAAAACTCTCTTTCGCGGAGATTCGGAGATCGACCAGCTGTTCCGGATATTCCACGTCCTGGGTACACCTACAGGAGACACGTGGCCCGCAGTGATGCAGCTACCCAACTACAAGCCGACCTTTCCGATGTGGAGAAAAAACATCGTGGCCGAGTTGCTTCCCGAGGTGGACTGCGAGGTGGTAGATCTGCTTCAGAAGATGCTTATCTACAGCCCTGGCGAGAGAATCTCGGCCAAAGGCGCCGCCGCACACCCCTACCTGGCCGGATCGACTGATTTCAAGCAGGCGGCGGGCACCACCGAGAAAAATAGCTTAGCGGCCTTGAATGTAGGAGGAAATGTCAATTTTATCAGGCAACTCGGAGATGTTGACGTCAAACCTGTCTTGCACTTCATTCAAGGTTTTTGCATCCTGCTCATCAGAGAAAAATGTCACTGCCAACCCCTTGGTGCCGAAGCGTCCAGCTCGAGCAACCCTGTGCAAGTAGGTGTCCGAGTCTTCAGGCATATCATAGTTGAAAACTATGTTGACCCTCTCAATGTCCATCCCTCGTCCAAACAAGTTTGTAGCCACAAGGATTCGCTTCTGGAAGTCTTTGAATTGCTGATAGCGAGATAATCTTTCCTCCTGGGTCATGGCCCGATGGATGGCAATGGCAGAAAAGTTTTGTTCTACCAGCAGCTGGGCGAGCGCCATGCAACGCTGAACTGTTTTCACAAAGATGACCACCTGGTTGAACTCAAGGAGGTCGAGCAGCTCAAACAGTTTGCGGTTCTTTTCGTTGTCATTCAGTTTGACGTAGTACTGCTGGAGACCAGCAGTACTACTACGTGAAACTGAAGAAAAAAATAGCAGTGAGACTTTGCCTCGCACGTAGTACTGCTGGAGACCAGCAATACTACTACGTGCAACTGAAGAAAAAATAGCAATGAGACTTTGCCTTCGCAGCTCGAACATGGCGTGCAACCCAGAAGCCATCCATCGCGGAATACGGGCGGCGTAAAGTGAGGAGGACGGCTTTGTGACAGGGCAGCGTCGCGCTTCCTAATTTCTGTAAATAAAGCGAGAAAGTTAAAACTCATGCTGTGTATAGTATGTTTGATTAAAGGGACACTAAAGTCAAATAACAATTTACGTCAGAGTGAAAGCTCAATGTATGGCAACGCCTAAAACGACAATATTATTAACAACAGTGCCCTATACTTACCAAGAAATTAAGGTAAATGCACAAGAACACAAGCGCCGCAGTAGAACATTTTCAAATGATCGCGATGATATCAGGCCTACAATTAATCACAAGTAATCGGCCTAGCTGCACAAAATAAAGAACTTTCCGTGCATTAAAAGACGCAATAAAATGCGGCTTGTTCGTTTTTGTTAGATTCATGGAAAAAAGAACCACTGAACGTGGTTCGAAAATTCAACTTTCGTGTGGTTACACGGGACATGTGGTGTTATCTAGTGGCCTCCAGTTGAAACAAAAGCGTCTGCAGTCTCGAAGCCAATGGCGGGAAATCGATTAATCACCATTGTTGCTGCTGTGGCTCCCGCTGCTCTCGGTATGCTGCTACTTGCGCAGTAAAGCTGGGCAACGTTGTGCACGGCAACAGTGGCGTGAGACAGACCGGTCGGTCTGCTTCTTGAGGCGGGTAATTTGAAGCGCGCTAGTCCGATGCGGACCACTAAAATGTGATTTTATTTCAAAATATGCCCTTTCTTGGCCCAAAAGTAACGCTTCGAGGTTTCTGGACCACCATTTCAACAATCAACGCTGTTTATAGTTGACTTTAGTGTCCTTCAAGGCTGTCCCGAAGATTGATGTCACGTGGTTGGAGATGGGAGGAAGGCTTCAGTTAAACCGGGAAAAGATTAAATATTAGAATTATTAGGAGATAGTGTGGAGACGCTTTTAAAATGTAATTTTAGAAGGCTCAACGAAGCGTACTGATATGCTAAAAATAATTATTCATGAGTGCTTGCTATTTTAATTTTATTTAAAACCTTTTTTCTCGTACGTTTGGTTCTTGCGCATTTCTAGGTCCGATATTCTTGGCCCTTGGTGCACAATGCTGTAAAAAAAAAAAGCCAAGTCTGCGCGGAACGCGCAGTACAGTCACAGTGAAAGCCAATGTTGGCGAAAGCTAGAAGAGCAGCCTTTCAGAGGCTTTTAAAACACTTATCGGGTAACTAGTGCAAGCGCACTTGCTTGATACCCACTACAGCAATAATAATAAAATAAGTGTGTGGTCGACCCATACATGCCCCGCGAAGCGGCTCCTAGACAAGACTGATGTGACGAAACACCTGCGAGAGACATACCGCTCCACAGGAGTTTTCCACACCTCAGCAGTTGTTGCACTGTCACCGAAATCGGCACACCTTTGACTGATTGACGACGTCGATTGCTGACATCGTCATGTGGTGTGGCGTTGCAGTGATGTCACTGTATGACACCTCAAATACGTAGTAATGACGTCACAAATTTAAGAGATACGCTACCTCATAATAGCGTTCGAGCGCCTGGAAGGAGCTGACGTGGGGTTATTGTACGTTAATGGATGCCGCGAAAATAAGGAGGAGTGCAATATTCAGCTCTGCTGTAAAACAATTTAGAGCCCCCTGTGCTATGGTATCCGTTCCTAACCAGGGTATTTAGAGGGTCACTCCTTGCTCTGCTGTGTGCTTTATATTGCGGCCTACTTCATACCTGAGTACAAGGTGATTACAACTCGTATCTTGTTTGGAAACGACTATACACATGGGACAAGGGCAGCTTTTAACCTGAATTTTTGTACTTTCGCTATGCAGTCTCTATTTTGTTTCTTTTTATATTTAAGAAAATTTACGCCCTATCTAAGTCAAAATAAAGGTTGAGTTATTATTTTAATGGCCTTTCTAAAGCGCTAGATTAGACTTCATGAAAATCTATAGTATAACATATTGGCACGAAGCAGGGGCGGATCCAGGGACTCATTTTAGGGGGGGGGGGGGGGGGGGTCGCTTGAAAAAGTAACACCAAATGAAGTGGGGGCGGGTTCCTGACTTTTCTTTTTATTAGCACGAAAACCCCGTCAAAGCATAAATACTGTTAATATGTGCTCGTAGTAGTCCCACTCGTTTGATCTAACTGGTAATAGAAAATGGACGACAAGCACTGAAGAGAGGGAGGGGGTCGCCCCTCCACCCATTCTGGATCCACCACTGGCACGAAAGCATTTTTGCAAGAGATGCTAGGAAGGGGACAAACTCGAGCACTGACTTGTTCTCGGTGTCTGAAGCGCTATATTAAACTTTGGTAATGTCTTCGGTAATATGGCAAAAATTTATCACTGGCGTAGTGATAACTAATATACGTATTTGTTTTACCTAGCTATATGCGTGAAATCCTTCCTTACGAAGAACAAAAATTGCTGAATTTGTTGTTACGGTCCAAGTAAGGGATCGCTCTCATGGGGTAGACTTTCGCCACTGCAGGCGATGAGGTCACACAACGAAAGACAAAGAAAAGTGAAAGCAGTCTGCAGTTCAACTGTTATTTTTCACGTGTGGGCTACGGTTTAGGCTATCCACCTTGGGGGATTGACCAATAATGGAGTGGCTTAATAAATTTACGTAAAACTTAAACGTTGCCTAAATCTACGGGCTTTTCTGTTTTCCTTCACCGCTGCAGTTTCTTTGTCAATCACCTGTAATGGGTAAGTGCCTTTGACGAGCCAGCAAGGATTCGCGCGCCGATAGACCTGAGCCCGACCGCGGCTCCCGCATGAAGCGGTCACCTCGACTCTTCGGAAACCTCGACAAAAATTTTGCGCTTCTCGCCGAAATAGATTTAAATTCTCGTGTCGCAAGTGTTATACCGACCGTGTTAAGCGACCGAGGCCTTGACTGCTATAGTGGCTTTGCCGCTGCTGTTATATGCGATCTGCCGGTAAGCAGACTTCTCGGTTGAGGGGGCCCCCATAGCGGTGGCTCCTCGAAGATGGGTACTATACCGAAAGTCATTCCTGGAGTCATGAGCGATGTTGCCTTCACCTCGCTGGCCACCCTCCGAACTTCCGATGGCGGAACCATCGCGGTCTTCAAGGACGAGCTCAGCGCCTGCAGCGCGTACTTCAATTCGCTTTTCAACGGGCCGCTATCCAGGGCGAATCAAGGCGACTTCCTCATCCACGGGGTCACCAGGGAAGAACTGCGGACTATCGTTGCGTACGCCAGCACGGGAGAAGGGGCCATAACGACCGACAACGTCGAGCGACTGATCATCGCAACGGATCAGCTGCTGGTCGACGGTCTTCTGGACGAGTGCTGCGCGTTCATGTCGCGAAATGTCGACCTCAGCAACTGCGTCAGAGTCCTGGAGATGGCCCGCTTCTTTCACCTGGAACCACTGGATAAGCAAGTGTTCCGCTTCCTGCTCGACAACTTCGAACGGGTGTATTCGGAGAATTGCCACTTTCACGATCTGTGCCTGCAGACCTTGGTCGACCTGCTGGCGTCGGACGAACTCAAGGTGCGTCGCGAGGAGACCGTATGGGAGGCGATCGTGTTTTGGATCAAGGCCGATCCCAGTGAACGCTCTGTCTGTCTTGACAAGCTGCTGCCGCACGTTCGTTTCTGCCTCATGAAGGGCAGCTATCTGAAAAAGGTGGTGATGCGCAACGCTCTCGTCTCCAAAAACACGCTCTGCAAGACGATGGTCAAGCGTTGTTACAAAATCCAGCACTCCGGGCTTAACGCGTGCCTCCTAAATCCCACTCGCAGCTTGTTCGTGCAGCGGGTGCCTTCCGAGATCATGTTCGTGTACGGTGGCATACACCGCGGCTACAAGAGCAACACCTGGGAGGTATACGATTACAAGACCAATGAATGGAACACCGTAAAGACAGACTTCAGACAGGACCAGGTATTTGGCCTGCAGTGCGTCTCGGTGGGTTACAAAATATACGTCTTGGGCACGGACATATCGAAGTTGTGCCCTTTCTGTTACTGTTTCGATGCGGTCGCCATGGATTGGTCGGCCATAAAGCCGATGGTTCAACGGCGGGCTTTCTTTGGAGTAGCCGTTCTGGGTGATTACGTGTATTGCATTGGTGGTTCGCCAAACGGCGTTGTCGTGCTGGACACCGCCGAGAAGTACGACACCATCACGGACACTTGGCGACCCGTGGGCCGCATTAACGAACCTCGACTGGGCGCCAGCGCGGCCTGTTGCGCCGGCCGCGTCTACATCGTTGGCGGCTTGTCTACGAACGGGCCGCTTCGCTCGGCCGAAGCGTACGATCCCGAGACTGACAAGTGGACGCTCATAGCGCCCATGAAGAGCGAGCGCATCTTTCACGGCGTCGTTTCGTATAGGAACAAAATCTACGTCATTGGCGGACTCTCCAGAAAGTCCAGCTCGTGCGAGATCTACGACCCAAAGAATGGCAAGTGGTCCAAGGGCTGCAAGACCAAGACCTTCACGGGCAAGGTTGTGACTGTGGTTTTGGACGACAAGATTTACGCCATAGGCGAGGCCAGCCAGAAGGACTACAAGCGGTGCCTCGAGTACTTCTCGGGTGATGACCGGAAGTGGCGCGCACTCCCGGGTTACGCGCCGCCGCGCTGGTTCTACACAGCCTGCGTGATCAAGAATCTGCCTAACGCTTTGGACTACATCAACAGACCCAAGGAAATTGACTACAAGTTTGCCTGTGCTGTGCTGTAAGGGTGTATAAGGTTCGGGAACTGGAACGCATGCTTAGATATGTTGTTTTTTTTATTTTTTTGAGCGAATACCAGGTATTTTATTTTCGTTGTGAAGTCCAGGAGGACAAGAATTGGAATTTTACTACTTGTGTCCCTTGGGGTTTATTTCGTTTGAGCTTGAATCTTATTAGAAAGGAATACCGACCGTGGACATTATAGATAAGTACATGATGAAGCGTGCTGAAATATGCATCCCTCTTCGTACACATTTATGGAATAAGTTCTGGAGTTTTATATGCTGTTGTTATTTTTTCGTTGTTGTTGAAGCCGTGGTATATGGTTGTTCTTCAGATGGCGCAATTCACTCTGGGGGATAGGCCACGAATAGGAGGTTGCATTGTTTCACTAATCAATTCACTTGCTGGAGTAAAGGGGTACTAAATGAATAGCTTAGCCGTTAAACATTAAAATAGTATAACTATGTATAAAATAAAAAAAGCAAAAGAAGAAACACTGCTGAAATCGTTATATTACATAAATGAACAGCTGTGATGTTAGAAAAAGAGACCAATTCAAGTTGTAACTGCATACAGCGTTGAAAGCTCTCTTGCGGCTAAAATCCAGTATATTAGCACAAGTGAAAGAAACACCGGAAGTGACTGAGGGGAACAACTTTATTCGGTTCACAATAGACGCGAGTAAACTATAAGTCACCTGGCTGTGGGCCTTCTCAGGAATCATCAGGCTAAACTTGACGGCGCTATTAATAATACGTACATTGATAAATTATCACGTACATTGAAAATAATACGTACATTGATAACCACGGATGAGAAAAAATGGAGCGGCTGCCGGTGCTCGTCTCGTATGAGCCGGTGATGTGGTATGGACGTAAGTGAATTACATTGCTAAATTATCATCATGATCTTTCATATTTCTCATTTTTTTCTCTCACAACGTTGACAAATACGCATGACAACCATAATGTATGCAAAGTGAATTGAGGGAAACGAAGTATTGTAGCAACGAACCGGTCCGAAGCTAGGCCTAACCCGTTAGGCCTAGCTTGCGTCGAACAGCACTTTCAGCACGCCATAGCTGACGTATATTTTTTGAAAAAAAAAGTCAAAAAGAAGAGACAGCGCATTTACTGTAACGAGCACAACCCGCTTTTGAGCAAATACATATACCGAGTAAGCCAATGTATAGATGACATGGTCGATGCACTCTTTCTTCAACTATGCATGCGTCATGCAATATGAAACCGTCATCAAAATTTACCACGAGGTAATTGATTCGCGTGATTCACAGTCTTGCTTGTGTATTTGTGGATGAGAAGTTGCGGAGAGCCTTAGTACAAAACTGAGCGAACCTGCCGAAAATTCAAAAACGTTTCAGTTTTTCACATTTTCGTTTAAATGGTATACGGGGTGAGTTAGTGTTTTTCAACGGACACGATGCAAACAGACCAAGTTTACGTGAACTTAGTGTTTATGTGCTTCAACTTGCACGTAAATCAAGTGTTTGCGTGTTTTAAATTATCTTGTTTGTTTGTACGTTTGCTTGAGCCGGTGGTGAATATTTACGGTGCCTTTTGTTTAATTGTTCGCTAGTTTGTTTGTTTAAAGCCGGGCTGTGTTTGTCATGCACCGTTGGCCTAAGTCTGAAGAAGTTGCGTGCACTGCGCGCTATGCCAACTTTTCCTGCACATATATTTAACCATAAAGAAGAAAAGGCCCATCTACGCAAATTCTCTTCTATAGCGTGAGAACTTGACCCGGCAACCCCCTCAAATCGATTTGTAGAATATGCGCCCGAATAGCTGACACTCGCTCCACAGCTTTCACCACGATGCAGCAGCTTTGAGAAGCACATCTGAACAATATGGAAAATATACTATAAGACGGACGTTAAAAAAAAAGGTATTTCGCATGGTCGAGTGAGGAAATCCTTTGAAGTGAACGAAAAATTGACAAAAATGTACAGTGACGCCAGGAAGAAAGTCGCGTTTTTGAGATCTCGCACGTGCTATTGAAACATAGTACTATAGTCCCAATTTGCTTCACAGATTATGAATGGACGACGCGAAAGATGCGTCATATTCTTACATACATTTGGTTCTCTTTTTGTTTCTAGACAGTAGCGCTACAGCCAAGAGACACTGCCTACGAAGGGGCACTGCACACAATCATGAAGTCAATGTAGATTAAGCGACCGAGTCAAAACTGAAGTAAAATTTATTTCAACGTTAGTCTCAAGTGCATAAAACAATAAGAATAAAAAAAAACATGCAAGCGCGTTCTGAGGTGCTGTCTGAAATTTGTCACAAATGGAAAATTATTCAGAATCGTCTCTGACCTGTGACGACATGTGATTAGCGATGAATATGCAAATAAAATCAAATTAATAGGAAGAGAATAAGTTTTTTGTTAATATTTGACCAAATAAAAAACACAATAAAATTTTGGTCAAGGAAAAGATTATCACCGTTATACGTTATAGTAGTCACAGCAGCCCCTTTTTGAGAAACAGAAAAGAGAAACAGAAAGGGAAGCGTTTGATATCCCAGACGCCAGCCTGGTGGTGAATGATATTTTTTTTCTGCATTTTCAAGTATTTGTGAACGAGATGAATTTTACGTAGTACACACTCATACACGCACACCGCACGCACTCTCACAACGTACCAGAAAAGCCTTTCACGCGATCATGTACACATAGATGGTTTCGACGTGTTTGAATGTACAAACAAGTGTCTCGTGTGGTGCGTGTGTCTTCGAGCGTAAATATACAAGAATAACACTGCTTCCAACCACAGGCAACGAACGCCTTCTCAAACTTTCTTTCTTTTCTCCTTTAACGGTCCCACAGCGCACCTTTATCCACGTCCTGGGAAAGAATCGCGCTTGCCCGCCAACTGTGCAAGGAACAGAGCGAGCCATCATTTTCAGAGTGGCGTGTAGAGAGATTAGTTGCAGAAGTGTACCTGAAATGGGACTGGGCTGGTTCGTCTATATCAGTGGGACATAATCGAGCAGCACTCGAGACGGAATGAAATTGAGTCGACGTTACTCTGCCGTAGAGGTCTTTTTAAAGGGTCCCTATCTTTGGAAATACAAAGTACGAGCACACTATTCTCCACTGGCGTCTGCCGTATTTCCCGCACAATTCGTGACGTCACCAGTCCGTTCACGTTACGTCACGAATGAGTAAGCTCTCTATTGGTTCATATGCGAGAGGCGCAAGTTCTGAATCGTATCCTACCACGATTTTCCATGCCGTCACACGCCCGTTCAGCGTTGTCTCGCACGACAATGAACGTACGCGATCGACCGATAACACTTCGCTTTGTGCTTTTTTTCGATTGCGTGAGCGGAGGTAACACCGCGTAGCCGATAATCACGAAATCCGGATATGCTAAACGATTAGTGCCGACATCGTCCCCGTGTAAGAAATAAATGGCGATGATATTGCGCCTCTAGCCCCGCCGTGGTGGTCTAGTGGCTAAGGTACTCGGCTGCTGACCCGCAGGTCGCGGGTTCGATTCCCGGCTGCGGCGGCTGCATTTCCGATGGAGGCGGAAATGTTGTAGGCCCGTGTGCTCAGATTTGGGCGCACGTTAAAGAACCCCAGGTGGTCAAAATTTCCGGAGCCCTCCACTACGCCGTCTCTCATAATCATATGGTGGTTTTGGGACGTTAAACCCCACAAATCAATCAATCAGGATTACGCCTGTAGGAAGAGCAGTGAAGGCGAGGAAAAAAAATATGTCTCATCTTTGTACTACGACCGTGTTTGGGAGCTCTTAAAGCGTTGCTCGACTACGTTCTCAAGATGACGGAGTTTCCAGGAAGTTATGCTGTATGAGGTCAAAGACGAGGCGGCTTAATTACGAAAGGACTAAAAATTGGCCAATCGAAACGAGAGAAGCGCCTAGCAACATTCCGCTGCTGCTGTTAAAACGTTTTACCTAACAGCAATGTCCGAGCTGTGAACGTCTTGCGTTTGTGTAAGAGCGTCGCCGAAACACCGCGCTCCTTAACTCAGCGCACGTGTTAACCACTAGAAATAAACTGCACGAGAATTGCAACTTGAGCGAGTTGGTACGGATTCATTTAACAGAGCACTGGATAACGAGGACTAAAAGAAAAGTAAGGGCACAACGCGGACGCTGACTCACAACTGATTTTTATTAAGAAAGAACATGTAAATATAAGGGTGAAAAAATGAACACAAAACAGATAATCATTGATATCAACGTATGCAGGTGACGCTTAGGTATCGGAATTCCGCATCACTTAGCGCAATAGAGGGTACGCTGATACAATTATTCCCTTTCCTTTGGATGTGGAACGCTTCGATGATCTCTTGATAATTGTTGTTTATGACGTTATGACGTGACAGAATTTTAGTGTCAGCGAAGAACGGAATACTGTCACGTATTCCGTTCAGGAAGCATACGAAGAGCCCTTTCGTGACGCGCACGTGAAGATACACAGCAAGACTATTTACAATAGCAGTCTCGTCAACTTAATATTGTATTGGAATGCTTTTCTGTTTGTTTGTTCTCAATTTCTGTATAGTTTTCAATTTCAAGTTCTTTTAGGCAAATCTACGATAAATCACGTGACTTTTGTCTGGTTTCACAAAGATCAAAGAAAATGTCATGAGCATCGCCCGCAGTGTTCACACGGTTCATAACTCTTCTGCGCACATTCATTTCTATTTTTTTTTCTATCCAGAGCATCTCTCTTTCATGTACATGTAATGATTGATATGTGGGGTTTAACGTCCCAAAACCACCATATGATTATGAGAGACGCCGTAGTGGAGGGCTCCGGAAACTTCGACCACCTGGGGTTTTTTAACGTGCGCCCAACCATACCTGTGAAGGGAAAAGTTAAGTGGGGGACTCGACATCATGGCCCCAATTGATATTTCTTTCCTTCTAGAGGGTCATTATCTGCTCTTCCAAGGAAATTTGTGTGAAATCAAAACGAAACGAAGGAGAATTATCGATGGTATAGGACGTGATTTGCATTTTAAGTCATGCTGCTGTGACAAACCGACGTTGGCAAAACAGCCACAACATGACCACCGTGGGATGTTACTGCGAGTGCATTCGCATGTATACGTTAAGTATTAAACTTTTATTACCGGTTGCCCACACCAATAGAATAAGACTTATACCTGTCTTAGAATAGAAGAATTGAGGTACTTGACAATTTAGGTGCGCTTAAAAAAGAAGAAATGGAAGGACAGTCTGCTAGAATAACCACTGCTGACAGACCTTTAGGCAGATCGCGTAATGCTGGGATGTTTGCCAGCAATTGAGCCTGGTAAATGTCATGATTGGTTAGTTGGTTCCTCAACATCTTGGCGCAACCCACTCTGGCGGATCGGATGGTGCCTTGCTTTATTAAAATAATTGACTTCTTGAAGGAAAAGGTTGAAAATGAATTCATTAGACATTACGAGTAATAATTTAAACTTGTAGGAATAAAAAACGAACTTTAATGCAATAACAAGAAATTATGGACCATCTCTCCAAAGAGAACACTGATGGAAGGCAACGGGTCGACGCGAGCACTTGGTTTGAAGTGAAACTTGGTGTAGCGTTTACTCGAGTAAACATTTGTTTGAAATGCAATGACACGGAAGGCGGGTTGGGTTTCGTGTATGTGGTGGTGGTGATGGAAAAGTTTATTATAAAAGGGAGCGTATGAGCCCCCAATCCTTGTAAGTTTCATCGCTGATAAGCGAGCCGAAAAAGTAAACAGATTTAGTCACACGTCCACAGCAGCCGTACGGACGCAGCCTGCTAGCCATTTTCAATGGCAGGCCACATCCGCATGGCTGCTGTGGACGCGCAACTAAATCTCTTTCACCGCTTTGGTTCAGTTCTACCAAAGCTACGAGGTGTAAGAAAGCCAGACACTTGCGCAGCGAAACGTAATCGTCCTTAGGCGGAAACAAAAAAGAGAGAAAAGGAGCGTTGCAGTGGGAGACGCGAAAGAAAGCGTCGATGGAGACAGACATACGTGAGCCACGTACAGCGTCAGCGAAAATAGCCAGAAAGTGAAGTTATCCGCTGGCACGAGATTCTAGCAGAGCAACAAATTCATGCTTCTGCAAATTACCGGTCTAGTTGCTTGTTTAATAGCTTTACTACATTTTGAAGTTAATAAAGAAGCCATAATAACTATATTCATATATTTAAGAACGCCGTTAATACGGTGGGCAGACGACACGGCGCGAACGAATACATGTGGAGGGGCTAAGCACTTAGCCTAAGGAAGGGCACTTAGCCTAAGTGCCCTTCCTATTTGCTAAGGGACCTGTAGGAACTTCTGAAACTATAGTGTTTCCACTCAACTTTGGTCCAGCGTTGGGGGTGGTGGAGAGGGTCAAGCGAGAGGGAATTGTGTTGCGAGCTGACTGAAGAGCCTGCTGCGGATGAGGGAAAGAGTGACGTCAACGCGCAGCTGCGACTTCACCTACTTAGCATCATTCCAGCAACTGCGGCGAGAGGAGCGTGGTGCGGCACGGAGACACGAACGGACAGCGTTATACAGGCTAGTAAAAAGCTGATTCGCGTCTACAAATTCACAGCATATCGTCGGACTGAACGGTGATGAGTGGGGCAAAGTTTTGCGGGATTTCAGCTTGGGATCCGCCCATCTCTGTGCGCGTTTCACCGTGGCATCTCGGGCACGCGTTTCCGACGCGTCCACCAGCCCGCCCCCCCGCCCGCCCGCCTGTCTGTCTGTCTGTCTGTCTGTCTGTACGTCTGTCTGTCTGTACGTCCACCCGTCTGTCTGTTAGTCGGAGCACCATCTAGTGATCATTGCGAGTTCTAGGGGTGACTACGATGGATGAAGCGAGCGCCCCAACGACCGTAGTAGAGTACCCTCAGCGCCATATAGTGAACACTCCAAGAAGTAGAGGCAGCTGCTATGCCGGACGCGGGACTGACCCACACCCTAGAGATTTTTGCCCCTAACACACAAACACACACACACAAACACAAACACAAACACACATGGGAAACCCGTCTGTTTCGAAAGCAACTGAATTATGCTACACCTAACATTAAAGTCTTTTAGACTCATAAAAATTCGTCACAGCGTTGAAAATGCTCATGTGGTTGAAACCAAATGTGATTGTGCTAAATGATCTCGATCAATATTTTATTCATCTTCAATTTTGTCATTTGCTTCTTCTTTCCTTCATGTCAAGCCCACCTTTCTTGAGTTGTTATTGCTGGGGTCCGTACTACAATCCTACTTATGGAAAACTAGACCCAAATTCATTCATGTGTTTACGACATCCACGCGGAAGGAACACCGACATAATAAGAAAAAGAAAGAAACGTGTTTTTTCACGAGCAGGCAAAGCACGTGGTCAGCTTTCGCGAGCTGCCACCTTACCGGTATTGTTCCAACGGTTCTCGGCGGCCGCTTACAGCTCGCTGGACCAAGTATCTGCGCGTACTGTCGTGATGTCTGCATCCGAAACCAGCGACGACTAGATGAAGGACTACGTCATCATGGAGAAGATTGGCGAAGGCACGTATGGCGTCGTATACAAGGCAAAGTGCAAGGCGACCAACAAGATGGTGGCCATCAAAAAGATCCGAGTGGAGGGTGGAGGCGAAGGTGTTCCAGCCACGACGATACGAGAGGTGGCCCTCCTCCGGGAGTTAAAGCACGAGAACATAGTGCGTCTCATAGATGTCATCATGCCACCGTCCAAGGCTATACACTTGGTCTTCGAGTACATGACCATGGATCTTAGGAAGCTCTTGGATACTCAGCCCAAGAACAAGACCTTGGATGGCGCCGTCGTTAAGAAGTACCTCGGTCAGATAGTAGACGCCATCCTCTTCTGCCACCGACGCAGAGTTCTGCACCGCGACCTCAAGCCAGCCAACGTGCTTATCGACGACAACGGCGGCCTCAAGGTGGCCGACTTCGGCTTGTGCCGTGCCTTCACGCTGCCCGTGGGCATCTTCACCCATGAGGTGGTTACCCTCTGGTACCGGGCGCCGGAGATTCTCCTGGGTGCCAGTCGTTACTCGACACCGGTGGACGTGTGGAGTATCGGGTGCATCTTCTTCGAGCTGATCACTGGGAAAACTTTCTTTCGCGGAGATTCGGAGATCGACCAGCTGTTCCGGATATTCCGCGTCCTGGGTACACCTACAGGAGACACGTGGCCCGCAGTGATGCAGCTACCCAACTACAAGCCGACCTTTCCGGTGTGGAGAAAAAATATCGTGGCCGAGTTGCTTCCCGAGGTGGACTGCGAAGCGGTAGATCTGCTTCAGAAGATGCTCATATACAGCCCTGGTGAGAGAATCTCGGCCAAAGGCGCCGCCGCACACCCCTACCTGGCCGGATCGACCGTTTTCAAGCAGGCGGCGAGCACCACTGAGAATATTGTCTTCTCCAACATGGCGTGCAACCCGAAAGCAGCCCATCGTGGAATATGGGCGGCGAAAAGTGAGGAGGACGGCTTTGTGACAGGGCAGCGTCGCGCTTTCTAATTACTGTCGATAAAGCCAGAAAGTTAAAACTCATTCTGTGTATAGTATGCTTGATTAAGGTTGTCCTGAAGAACAATGTTATGTGGTTGAAGATGGGAGGAAGGCTTCAGTTAAACCGGGGAAAGTTGAAATATTAAGAGAACTGTTTAAACTTTTCTAAAATGTAATTTTAGAACACAACAAAGAGTTCTGATATACTCAAACTAACTATCAACAAAGAGTACTCATATACTCATAAATAATTATTCACGAGTATTTGCAATTTTGTTCGCCCTATTGGTTTTTGGACATTTCTAGGTCCGGTATTCTCGACTTTAGGTAGGCTAAGAAGGGAAGAAGGTCCGAGAAGAATAACTGCTTGTAGTGTGCGTGGTCTGCAACTTCAGCCGCAAGTGTAGCAAGGTACCTTCATAAGTTTTAAAGGAGAATACTTGAGTGAGTGGGTGAGGAAACTTTATTTAACCAGCGGATTGAGGCGTGGGCCTAGGCCGCACCTGGGGCGGTGGAGAGACCCTGTCTCTCAGCCGCCTCCCGTGCTCGCTGGATGGCCCATATTTGATCTGTCCGATCTGAGCTGATCAGCGCGGCTCTCCACCGCGCCCCAAGCTGTTCTGGGGAGACTGCATTGGCGCCCTGTATCTGTGGGCATTTCCATAACATATGCTCTAGGCAGGCGCGTCTCATGCTACATAGTTTACACGAGTCATCTGGGTATAGTTCGGGGTATACATGCGATTTAGGTGCTTTGGATTGGGAAAAAGTCGCCTCCAGTCAACCTCCTGAGATCTGTCTAATGTGGAGCTAGGTGGTGGAAATCTGCGCCTCGACTTTTGGTAGAATCGGATAATGTCACAGAACCTAAACATTCTGTCCCTCTCCCACCACTCATCTCCTCCCAGTACCTCATGTGAAGCTCCATTGCGAGTGCGGTAAGTGAGACCTCGCGCTACGCGGTGAGCCTCCTCGTTGAGGTTGGGAATGAGCGACGCACACGGGGTGTGGGCTGGGAACCATATAATATACCTTTCTTCGAATTCCTCGGATGATATGAGATTTGCCTTGTGGATGAGTATGTGTGCTACCTCGGGAGATATTCTTCCTCGTGCATAGTTACGGGTTGCTGACTGCGAGTCGCTGATGACATACCTACACTTTAAGGAAATTATGGCCTGTGCAATAGCCACCTCTTCCGCGATTTCTGAATTATCCGAGCGTATGGAGCACGCGTTAACGCATTTGCGGTCGGTGTTTATTACTGCCGCAACGTAGGATTTATGACTAGGGTACTCCGCTGCGTCTAAGAACAACGCTTCCTTGTCTCTGCCGTAGGCCTTAAGCAGAGTTCTAGCGCGGCTTTCTCTTCTGCTCTGGTTAAATTCGGGGTGCATGTCTTTGGGCAGATTGGAGACCTGGATCTTTTCCCTGATCACCTTTAAAACCGACACTTTACTTCCTTGTTGCCTATGGTAATTTATCCCCAACTTGTCAAGGATACTCCATCCTGTGCGCGTGCTGGCTAGCCTCTCCAACTGGGCAATCTGTTGCGCTTCTATCAGCTCCTCTAAAGTGTTATGTAAGCCCAGTTGAAACAGTTTTTCGTTGCTGGTGCTATCTGGAAGGCCCAAAGCTTGTTTGTATGCCTTTCGTATGAGTGCGTTGATTTTGAGTTTTTCGGCTGTATACCAGTTTAGATATGCCGCTACGTATATAATGTGACTTATGGCGAATGAATAAATAAGCCTGATGACGTTAGCCTCTTTCATGCCTTGATGTTTGTTGGTGACTCTCTTGATTAGCTGTATTGCGTTGGTGACTTTGGTTACTAACCTCTTGACGGTTTCACCGTTTGTACCCTTAGACTCGATGATGAGTCCAAGGACTCTGATTTGTTGCACTATAGGAATAGTCCTGCCGTTTTTGGTGTGAATTTGGATCTCTTCGTAAGCATGGTCCCGGTTGTATCCCTTGGGTGGTCTGCCTTTAAGCGTGGGGCGATAGAGGAGGAGTTCGGATTTATCTGACGAGCACTCGAGGCCAGTACCATCAAGATACTCCTCAATAGTGGTGACGGCCTCCTGTAGTCTCTGCTCTATCTCTCCGTCACTACCTTCACACGCCCAGATGGTGATATCATCTGCATATATTGAATGATGTATTCCATGTATTGAGTTTAGCCGCGCCGGGAGTCCTATCATTATGAGATTAAACAGCATTGGCGATATGACCAAACCCTGCGGTGTACCAGCACTACCCATAAGCCTTTCCTCAGATCTCAGTTCTCCCATTACGATAGATGCCGTTCTGTCTGTTAGGAAGTTCTTGATATAGTTATACGCTCTTGATCCTAAGTTTAATTGGCAGATCTGATGTAAGATAGCCGTATGCGATGCTTTGTCGAAGGCTTTTTTAAGGTCTAACCCTAAGATCGCCCGGGTAGTTCTTGTTTTGTTATCTAGAATCTGCTGCTTAATTTGCAGCATGGCGTCTTGCGTGGAGAGCCGTGTGCGGAACCCCAACATGGAATCTGGGTAGATTTCGTTCTCCTCAAGATAAGTGTTGATTCTGTCTAGAAAAGCATGTTCCATCAGCTTCCCAGCAGAAGACGTTAGTGATATGGGGCGTAAATTCGATAGATCGGGTCGTTTCCCGGGCTTGGGGATGAGGATTACTTTAGCTTTTTTCCACTGTTTTGGTATAGTGCCCTCGGTCCAGCACTCGTTAATATATTGTGTGATGTTCTCTATGGCTTGGTCGTCAAGGTTCCGTAGCGTTCTGTTAGTGATCCCGTCTAGTCCCGGTGCAGATTTGGTGTTTAGCTTCTGTACCGCGGCCCTGATTTCAGCCACAGTAAACTCCTCATCTAAGAGTTCGCTCGGGCCTCCGGAATGTGGTCCGTGCTCTATGGCAGGCATGGCGGGAATGTACGTGTTGCTAGCCTCAGCGATAAAGTCCTCCTCACTGCCGTTATACTGGTGCACCAGTTTACGCAAGGTTTGCTTGTGTGCTGATTTGGTGTTATCTGAGTCTAGCAGGTGTTTGAGCATGCGCCATGTCTGACCAGCATTCATTTGGCCATCGAGACTATTACAAATTTGGTCCCATTGCTGTTTGCTTAGCTGCTTACAATGTTCTTCGATCTGTTTGTTCAGCTTGGCTATGCGCTTGCGCAAGGGCCTGTTGTGCCTCTGTCCCCGCCATCTATTCTGCAGTGATTGCTTGGCCTCCCACATGTGTGCGAGACGGCTATCAATCTGCTCTAGGGGTGGACTTGAAGTGATACTTCGCGTTGCCTCGCTGACGTCGTTATTGACATCTTTGATCCAATCTTCTATATTGCTGATAGGGTCTTGTTTTTTCGCGTTTCTGACTTTTTTTATCCCAGTCAGTCCATCTAATCTGTCTCTGAATTTTCGCGGCAGCCATGGTTTCTATCCTGATTTCTAATATTCCATGATCACTCCCCAGATCATCGAATGTGTTTTTCCATATAGCGGTCCCCGCGTTACGAACTAACGTTAAGTCTGGAGTGGTGTCTCTTGCAAGCCCAGTTCCCATACGCGTAGAAGAGTCGGGGTCAGTGATGAGAGTTAAACCTGTTTCTTGAATATCCTCCCATAGCGTTTTTCCTTTGGCTCTTGTGTATCCGTATCCCCAAGCACTGTGTGGAGCGTTAAAGTCTCCACCTATGACGAGTGGATTGGGTCCCGCTATATCTACGGCCTTCTTAAAGAGAAGAAGGAAGCGTTGTCGTACGCGTGCGGGATTGCTGTACAAATTCAGAATAAATATGCTCGGAGATTTTTTTCTTTTAGGGGCAAGTTGTACGAGTATATGTTCAATTTCTGTGATGCGGGTGTCGTGGCGGATTGCTACGAGTCCCTTCCTTACTGAAGTGGTTAGTGTTCTAATATCCTTTGTTGAGGGGCCGATCGCCTGATATCCCGGTAGCTTAGCTAAAGCATGGGTTTCCTGCAAAATTAGAACATCTGGTTTGGTTCTGTCTCTAAGGTGTTGTTGCAAGACTGCTCTCTTCCCCTCATAGCTCCTGCAATTCCACTGCCAAATAATTAGGTCCCTTTTTCTGGGCTTCCCTATTTTGAGTTGGCTATCGAAGAGGGAGGAGGGTGAAAGGAGGCAGGCCTCATGAAATTAGTTGATATAGCCACTGATGTGGTGCCCTCAGATAAGTGTGAATTTCCTTCAGTGCTTATCGGAAGGTTGGTAGCTGGAAGTACCGGAGGTGTCCTAGGGTTGAGATTGGCTACGTTAGCTTCGAGTTTATTTAGTCTATTCATGATCATGGATATTGCAAGCGAGAGGTTGTTGGTTGCCTCTGCCTGTTCCTTAACTGCTTTCTGTATTTCGGACAATGTTTGATTAATGTTCGAGGTTTGCGCCGTAGTTTTGTCATTAGACGCCTGAGCTTTCCTTTTAAGAGGTGGCGAAGTATTGTCCTCGTCCATTCGGTTATCTGGCATTTCTTCGAGGCGCTCTTGGGCCGCGGAACGCATTTGACTAGAACTTCTATTCGTGCAGTTTTTAATATTTTGAATTTCCCGAGTAAGTTGTGATATCAATTCTCTAAGCTCAGCGTTTTATTTTTTCAGCTCCGCTATATCACTGACATTATGCGCAGTCTCCCCCGAAGGCTCAGGGCGCGTCCCTTTAGCCACGTCTGACCAGCTCACCGTGAATGCCGGGTTCCCTTGATGGCCATTGCCACCCTTTGGCTTAGACCGGGATCTGGAACGGGATGTAGTGCGCCTTCTCGGTCCCGAAGACTGGGTGGTGTGGCCGCGGGGCGTTGCGCAGGACCAGGACCTTGATCTGGACCCAGGCGTTGCCCTCGTCCGGAATTTGGACCTCCCGCGTTCGGTTGGCTTGATGGTAGGGGGGTAGTTCTCCTCGAGCGTCTCAGGCTTGAAGTTGTCGGAACCACTGGCGTTGTTTTACGATGTAGAATGTCTTGAACTTAGCCTTGCAGAGTATGTCAGCCGTGG